AAAAAAAAAAAAGGAATACATTGATTGGTCTGTTAGAGCTTGGAAATAAAATAATAATAATAAAAAAGACTGGAATGGACTCCATTGGAATGGAGTCTGGCATAGTTCACAGAATAAAATAAAACTAATAAAGAACCAAAACTCAAGAAACAGAAAATCTCTGATAACCTCCTTAGAGAGCTACAATAAAAGCCATCCAGTCCTGATGCAGCCGTTGTATCTCTCCATTCAAGTTTCAAATTCCCATGAGAAAATCTGTTTCGTTCAGCCTGGGTTTAGGTTTTCCCCTATCAACCGGCGATGACACTGACGTAAGGTCCCAAAGCACAAACACGACCACTGGAGCTGTTTCCAGAAAAGGGAACTGTAAACCAGGCGGCCAACCCAGTCGAAGTCTACTTCAATTACCATGTTCCCAAGCGTCTATTTTGCAGTCGGTGAATGACAAAGGGCAAAAAGGCACGAAAGACATTGCTTAGTCAAACAATTTTAATTTAAGTTAAAGGTCAGCAGAAAAGGTGCAATTACATGAAAAGCCCCATATTTTGCACATTTAAACCGTTTTTCACTGTCTTTACTTGTAAGGTGTTGAAGGTGGGACCCACTCCTGAATCTTCTTTCTAGTGGTGGAATAAGGTACATACTGTTCTGGGGTGCCACTCACGTTGAATTTATGGTTTGTCCAAATGAATTTACGAGCAATAAGTGGTTTTGTTGTTGGAGGATCATCAGTCATAGAGTGAAGCCAACGGTGCCTTAGAGAGAGGGGAAAGAAAAACCAAACAGTTATGAAAAAGCGGCACGACATAGTGGAAGGGGGGTTAGGAGGGCAGCTCTGGAGCTATTTTGTTGTTTTGGTTCAAACCTCAATTCAACTTACTAGCTGAACTTTTCTATGTCTCAGTTTTTTTAATCTGGGCATCTCTACTTCCTAGGGATGGTATGAGGATAAAATGAGATAATATACATAAAGCACCTAGAAAAATCCTTGCATGCGGTAGATACTCAACAAATGTTAGCTAGTGCTACTACCATTACTGTATTCCATCAAATCTAAGACACTATCCATTTTCAGACACATCATTATTTTACATTTCTAAGAAAGAAAAAAATGGTACCAATTATGACAGACTATTGATTATAATATATATCCTCATTTTAGATGCAAAAATGTATTTTAGAATTGGTAAAATATTCTGGGCTTGCAGCACGTTCACTTGCTCTGACTCAGAAAGGTCTAGTTGGAAACCCGAGGCTCCTGCAGAAGAGGGTCTCTGCCAGCACCCCAGATTCAAGCTTGAGACTGAACACTGGAGAATATACAATGTATTGTATTGAACAATTAAATCACAGCCAAAATTCACAAGTGTTTTGGTCATACATGCTTGGCAATTTAATTTTAAAGGATATTTGATGGGAGGTGCCAGAAATCTGGCCTAAAAGCTGGCTACATGGAGTAAAAGGGGAGGAGCCCAGTGATGCTGCTGCTAATGACAGGGGAAAGAGGACTCAAAGTTCGAGGGACAAGGAGGAGAATCAAGCAGGAAGCTAAGCTGAGGAGTTTACATGGGAAAGAAGGAGAAAGAGAATTCATACCAGACCCCCTAAGACCCAGAGCTCACAGACAGAGATGACCCTATGGGAAAAGGGAATGAGGGGGACAGTCAAAGAACTGCAGCACTGCAGCTCCAAAGGAAAAAAAAAAAGTGATTACCCAGCTGCAGAGAAAAGGACAAGACGAGGAGGTTTCAGTGGAATAACTAAAACTAAAGCTAATGAGAAATTTATGATACTGTGTAAGCCTAAGAATATTTGCTAGCAGTAAGTGATAGACATAGCTAGGTAATTGGCTAAAACCAGCCAGAGTAGAGATCAAATATGATTATTGTTGCTATATTTGTGTCTAAAGATAATCGTGTCATGATCAGCTTATGCAATGAAGAATGCAGAAGGCTGTACAAGCTGGGTGGTGTCTGTCTTACATCCTGTGAAGGAAGCTGGGGATTAGTGAAGTGACTGAACCCATAAACCGTGACCATCAATACGAGCACGCCAGTGCTGAAGCCCTTGTGAGACGGCGGTGGTGAGCCAGACTCCGCTGACCACTCAGAGGAGGGCTTAGCTGTTCAAGTCAAGGCTGCCACTTACCAAGAGGCTTTATGGGAGCTTAAGGCACAGCAGAAATATTTAACGTTTACCTTGTTGAGTCAGCTTAAGTAACTGAAGAAATATTTTATTCAAATAATTGCTGTCAAGACTCCTGAAGGTTAAAATGATATTTAAGGAACCATAGTCCCAAGCTTATATATGCCTAGTCATTTACTTAAGTGAGGAATTGAAGAGCTCATGGAGAAACAGAAAATGCTCAAAAAAAGTAAGAGATAGTTTTTATAGCAATACATACAATCTAAAAATATTTATTCTAGCAAGGCTACACTCAAGAATTAGGGAATGAATAAATGATAATCTGTACTCATTATAGTACTTTATAGAGAACGACAAGCAATAAGAAAACGTGCCAGGCGTGGTGGCTCATATCTATAATCCCAGAACTTGGGGAGGCTAAGGTGCAGGGATCACTTGAGCCCAGAAGTATGAGACCAGCCTGGGCAACATAGCAAGACCCTGTCTCTACAAAAAAAAAATAAGATAAAATAAAGAAATAAGAAAATGTTTATATTCTGCTACGCTAATATAACTCACTGTTACTGTTGTTATTATATTATTAAATAAGGGGTAAAGAAATCATACCTTTTAGATTTCTACACCAAAGAGTTTTATTTGCAAAACAGATTTTCAGCTGGGCTGTTTTTATTCCAACTAATTAAAGATGCCACTGTACTAAGAACATTATCTAGAAAACTGTGTTGCAGTTGGCATTAGACACTTCAATTTTATATCCATGTTATTATCTTAAAGGACAAAATATAAAATTACTTATACTTGATAAAGTCAGTGAGACTGCAAATAAGGAGACTGGCTGGAATGGAAAAGGTTATAAACACAAAAGAGAAGACTATTTATAATGAAAATATATTACATTTATGGGAGGACTCAGTACTCAAACATATTAATACTAAAGTTGTGTCAAAATAACTGGAAACAAAGATATTTAATCAAAATTACTGTCATTTAACATTTACCTTGTTGAGTCAGCTTAAGTAAATAAAGAAAAATTTTAGCTACTCCTCCACCAAAATTATTTCTACAGTTGCGTAAGAGGAGAAAGTATGTCAAACACCAGGCAAGGGAGACTTTCCCCTTCTTTGAAAACACACTGCTTCACTTAACAACCCCCTCAGTTTGAGGATGTCAGCCACTCAAAGTGGAGAACAGAGGCATTTATTTGTGAAGAAAAAAGAAAATAGCCTAACAGGAAATTTAAGAAATAACAAATTTATAACATACAAAACAGATTTTTAGAAATCAATGCAAGATTGGTATTAAAAACACTTTAAGGCCGGGCGTGGTGGCTCACGCCTGTAATCCTAGCTCTCTGGGAGGCCGAGGCGGGCGGATTGTTTGAGCTCAGGAGTTCGAGACCAGTCTGAGCAAGAACGAGACCCCGTCTCTACTAAAATTAGAAAGAAATTAATTGGACAGCTAAAAATATATAGAAAAAATTAGCCGGGCATGGTGGCGCATGCCTGTAGTCCCAGCTACTCGGAAGGCTGAGGCAGGAGGATCGCTTGAGCCCAGGAGTTTGAGGTTGCTGTGAGCTAGGATGACGCCATGGCACTCTAGCCCGGGCAACACAGTGAGACTCTGTCTCAAAAAAAAAAAAAAAAAACAACACTTTAAGGTTGGCATTAATAACAAAGATAAGAAAGTTTAATTTTCTCTTTTAGAGAATTCCCAGGAGTAAAACATCACCAAATAATAGCCAATAACACCAATGTAGGCAGCTCTGAATTTTTCTTCTTGGATAATATGCATGATAAATTTTGGGAATCAAGGCTGGCTTCTAATCATATTGTTCATGTTTCGGATACTTTCACTGGACATCATTAAGAGTAGAAATGGCAAAGATTTTTCAATTTTTTAAAAAATAAGTATGAAAAACTAAAGAAAAACTCCAGCATGTTTTTGAGGTAAAAATATTATCATACTAAAATTATTACTCCATCTCATTTTAGTTTATGTAACATTCTTACACATACCACTCATTCACTTATTTAATACTCATTTGGTATATCTTAAAGTTGAGGAAATAGAATTTAAATGACTTTCCCAAGGTCCCAGATCATGTATGTTACATAGCTGAGGCTTGGACGCAACCTCCCTATGGTTGAATCAACAACCTTTTGATTAGAAATTTAAATTTTAATCCACAGGTGAAACTGGGATGGGTTATGGTGGCATATAAGTATCTTTTAAAACCCTGAGATCCATCAAACCCCAGAATGGGATTGATAAATTTAATTTATTCATTTACTTTATTTTATTTTTTAGAGACAAGGTCTCACTGTCACCCAGGCCAGAGTGCAGCAGCCCTTGAACTCTTGGGCTCAAGGGATCCTCCTGCTTCAGCCTCCTGAGTAGCTGGAACTATAGGCACATGCCACCATGTCCAGCTAATTTTTTTTAAGCAAATTTAAAAACCAAATGTAGTTTATTATAAGATGGCAACTTAAACCTTGTTAGCACAGTAACTATTATTTAATTAAGTGCAATCTGAATTAAAATCCCAATGGGGTTCTTCTTAGAGTTTGACAATATAATTCTAAAGATCAGCTAGAAGTTCATCCAAGAAAAATTTTCAAAACTCAGAACAGTCAGGAAGGCTGGCATTGGCATTACTAGATATTAAATGAAAGCCTCAAACATTAGAATGGCATAAAAACTGGTATAAAAGCACAATAATAAAGCAGAACAAAGTCCCCCAAACAGACTAAAGTGTATAAAAGGTAAAGCTGGTATTTCAAATCACTAGGGGAAAGTAAAAATTTCTCAACAAATTATGCTAGGATAATTTTGTTGAAAAGAAAAATCAAGTTAGATTTCCCAAGTCATATATCAATGATTCCAGATAAATTAATAATGCTCAGATACAATATGGGTATATATTCATATTCATAAGATATACTGATGTTCATAGAATATGAAGAACCACTTTTAAGCTTAATCTCAAAGATAAAAAGCCATAAAAGAAAAAAAAAGCTGATAGATTTTACTACATAAAAATTGAAACATCTATGTGCTAAAACACTGCAAACAAGATTAAAGGCTAAAAACAAACAAACAGACAAGAAAAAACAGGAAAAAATATTTGTAATGTATAGAAAAAAGATTCATCTACCACTACACATCAGAAAGAGAAAGCCAAACATCCAATAGAAAAATGGACAAAAGATATTAGAAGATGTCATAAGAGAAAAAAATTAAAATAGCAAACAAGTTTAATCAAGGAAATACAGAGAAAAGAACACTCATATATTACTGAATTATTTACCCTGAGAATATTTACCCTGTAAATTTGTACAGCCTTTCTAGAGGGCAATTTGGCAGTATGTATTAAAAACTTATAAAACATGTATACTTCTGGATATAACAATTTTACTTGCAGGAATTTCCTTAAGGAAATGAGGATACACAGGTAAGTGCTTATGTACAAGGATGTTGATCACTGCTTTATTTATAAATAGTGAAAAAATGGAAACAATAAAATCAAAAGTAAATGGAATAAATAGCTCAGGGTACATCCATATTAAAAATTATGCTATAGAGAGTATTTCATAACTTGAGAAAATGTCTA